TCTGTGGGTTCATCTATCGGAGAGTGAAACCTCTCACTTCAAATCCCCCTGGCTGGCTTGCCAAAATGTTACACTCCAATCAAGGAAAGGCAGGAACTGTAGAAAACAGTGACCTTTATTTATTTTAGAATATACCAAACATGAACTACAACAATGTGAGAACTAAAATCACTTTGGTACTGAAGTCCACGAACTGCCATCTACTTTCCCGAATGCCACTTGTTTAAGTATTAAACGGGCAGTAGCAATATAAGCAACCCAACATAAAGCTTACATCAACTATTTTTCTCTGTCACAAATACATAATTTTGCATAGCTCCTCATGATAAAACAGGAATTGCGGTAAAATTTAAGCTATTTTAAGAAAGTCTAGTTGCTTATAGATACCACCAAAGAATCTGGACATTCCTCCTTATTGTCCACAGATTCTCTACCCACAAAAACATTTTATTACACTGAAATAACACAAATGAGTGTATGAAGCAGTATGCCATACAAATCTGCTTCCATAACAGAATGCTTTTCAGGATGTCAGAGCTCATTGTTTACAGAATGGTGCTGCCTGGTGGCATACCAAAACAAGAAAGCTGAGATTGTGTCAGCCAATCAGGTACATTTTGAGTGGGAACACCAATATTAGGTGTAAAATGGATTCATCCCAGCAACTGAAGAAGCGAGAAAACAGGTGTTGTGCGAAATGCCTTGCAGTTTCCGAGTACATCTGCTTGGAGTGCTTAAAACTGCTCAGTGGGTTGTTTACAGTGCAATCCTAGACAGAGATACCCTTCTAAACCCATTGATGCTAACTGGCTTTGAAGATTTTAACTCTTCTTGAGAGTGCACTGTTAATGCACTGACTTCAGTAGCACACAGTACAAAACAAGGAGGTGTTGGTGATGCTGGTGAACCTCTGCATGTCCCAGCAGTTAATGGCACAGAAAGAGACCAGTAGTAGCTCTACTTTTTTTATTGGAGCATGCAGGAATGGACATGCTTTTCCTATTCCTGTATGTGTTTCCTTCTTTTCCTCCCCTTTCTTTGCAAAGCCTCTGTGACATTACATCCTTGCTGAGCTTCCTCCCTACCCTCCCAAGGCACTGACCCTAAATAGCCAGGAATTTCCCAAGCCAGAGTTTGCAAGACTAGTGTGCGTGCATGTGTGTGCATGTGTGCATGCACACTCACACTGCCCTGAGAAATATGAAAATATAGGCCTTGGCCCCGGTCACACGGGCCAGATAACACGGGGGGGGGGGGGGGGGCTGTTTTTTCCGCCGGCGAATTTAACACACCAGAACGTGATCAGATGCGGCGGCGGCGGCAAATCGGGGTTTTGTTTGTCGGCTTGTGTTTCTGGTGCACTTCAACATGGCGAGAGGCGCGCGCTTGAGCGATCACACGTAGGTATTCCATCGATGGCCCATAGCAAACTGTTTTCTAGTAGGCTTTCCCAGGTATTTTTTAACTCTGGATCTTCAGGCGGATGCTATGGGTCAGCGATGGGTGTGCTACGCTTGCCAAATGTGTCCTTGTGATCGCACCCGTATACTCCGCCCGACATTCGTGCCTCTCCCGCGGCAAATCCTCCGTGTGACCGGGGCCCTTGTTAGGTAAAAGAAATAATTTTGTTTGTTTGTTTATTCATTTATACCCCACCTTTCTCCCATTTTAATAAATAAGCATTTTAAGATAAGGAATGCACAAAAACATAAGTAGCTATAGTTTAAATATTATGTACATATTTTACTCTATTGACACAAAATTAAATCAAAACTCATGTGCAATACTTCACAGTCATCCCCAACAAAACAGTGCATAAGACTGAACTTTCTAGTTAAAGGGACTGACTTAATACATTTTAAACAAAACTTTTCAACTTTTAAGTTGCAGTGTTTCATTTTAGAGGGGGGGCATGTTGGTCTGCACAGCAGAATGTTTAGATCTGAGTCCGGTAACACCTTAGAGACCAACAAGATTTTAATTTAGTTTTATTATCAGGTGGATATAAAGAATGAGAATCAAATGCAGGCCTCAAGAAGACAGAAAATAGAAACAATGACATAGGAACAGGCACTTTTTCAGCTGACCTCCTTTGGAAAAGAAATGACAATTGAACTGTGGATTGAAGATGATGCTTGCATCTAAGAGTAAAGACACTGAACCAGATAGAGGCCTTTAGTAGCTGCCCGGGCTGGGCCTGTAATAAGTCCCAACAGTGCAATAAAGGAATTGAGTAAGGAGGGCCTGAAAAAAAGATAAGTAAAAATGGGCGACTGGCATGAACAAACACAATGGTTAACTTCATTTTCACACCACAGGAATCCGTGTCCTTACAGAATCACCAGGGGATAAGGAAGAAATATAATTTTTGAGACTTAAGAACATAAGAGATGCCAATGTTGGATCAGGCCAAAGGCCCATCCAGTCCAACACTCTGTGTCACACAGTGGCCAGAAATACCAGGTGCCATCAGGAGGTCCACCAGTGGGGCCAGGACATTAGAAGCCCTCCCACTGTTGACCCCCCCCCCCCAAGCACCAAGACTTCTGTTTACAGTAGGGCTGCCAGCTCTGGGTTGGGAAATACCTGGAGTGTTTTTTTTTGGGGGGGGGGTGGAGCCTGGGGAGGGTGGGGTCTGGTGAGGGAAGGGACCTCAGCAGGGATGTGATGCCAGAGAGCCCACCCTCCAAAGCAACAAATGTATCCAGGGGAACCCATCTTTATTGTCTGGAGATCAGTTGTAATAGTGGGAGATCCCCAGGCCCCACCTGGAGGTTAGCAACTCAATGGTTCATTCCCTACTATGCAGTGTTTCATCTTAAACTCCTGACTGATGTCTCTGCAGCTTTCAGTCTTCTAATCCACAATCCATTGACTCTGTTGCAATACCAATGCAAATAAATAGATTCTGAATTGCTCACAGATGATTGTGTTCATCAGTCATGATAGCATAATCAAGATATGACATGAAATGGGTGAAGCAGTCATCATGGATGACAGACCACAGACCTATTTTTCATACTACCTGATGCATGATACATTTCAGTGAAGGCCATATTTATGTTCAATGACAAGTCCTCAAAAGCTGAGTAATGATGACACAATGTCTGTGTATGTGTCAGTCAGCTGAGAGAGAGAGATTGGATTTCTACCCCCCCTCATCACTACCCTAAGGAGTCTCACAGCAGCCTAAAATCCCCCCCCCCAACAGACACCCTGTGAGGTAGTTGAGGCTGAGAGAGCTCTGAGAGAACTCCCCGGAAGAATTTATGACTGACCCAAGGTCAAGGCAGCAGCTGCATGTGGAGAAGTGGGGAATCAAACCCAGTTCTCCCAGATTAGAGTCCATGCTCCTAACCAAGTCTACACCAAACTACACCAGTCTTGGTGCCTGACTTCAAACCATTCACGTACCATGGCTCTTGCCTTCTTTGAAGAAAGCTCAGAAGTGTAATCTTTCTACCGGTTCCTCTTTACCAGGGTTTGTATAGGCAGTAGTAGTAACAAAGATAACTGTAACACTGCCCAAATAATTCAGGTAGAAATCACATTTTCCAGCTTTTTTTTTTGGGTGGTTCATGGATCAGGCTGGCTGATGCTGTGGAGGTCAAAGGCAACAGAAGGCTGCCTTCAGTTCTTTGGGAAAAAACAGATCATCTTGTTGGCCTATGTGTGCTATGCAGTTTTTACAAAATAGCTGCTGATATGGGTGGGTACAGACCATGATGAGCACGTTGTCAGGTGGCTGTAGAAATGGTTCTAGTAGATTGTCTTGTAATTATGTTCTCTTACAACCTAATTTTCTTGTAAAAATGAGCCTGCAGATGCAGGGGGGGTGGTGGTGGAAAGGAAATGGGGGTGGGTGCCCTATTCACAGCCTATAAACTGTTTGGGATTCTGTATTCCTTTTCTGTACAGTAATACTGAGAAAGAGAAGCACATGGGCCTGAGTAAATAACACATTTTTGGAGAATGTCAATTGTTCCTTTTTTCTCATCATCTTATTAAGTATATATCCCTTATTTTAGGACAGATGAGAGCACACTTTCGCCCCTAGCCATTGGGAGGAAACAAATGTTTGTACAATCAAAACATTGTGTGTGTGTAGTTTTCAATTATGAACAGATAGAATGTTATTTCCAAAAACAATAAATTATATTCAGACTTGATACGCCATCTAAGTTGCTTTGGAGTTCAGAAGACCTGAGAAGTACTTGAAATCAAATTGATGTCATCATGAATCTCTTTCTGAATGTTCAAGATTTGATGTAAGTATCCATTGGTTGCATTCAGGCCTTTGGTCAGGCTCATGGAAGTCTTGTCAGGATCAATTTGCAGTACAGGAGAGTTCAAAGTCAAACAGGCATGCAGGTTGGATTTCGCGAGGGAGACGTTAAGGTTTGTAGTAATTGACTAGCAAAGGTAACAGTTGGGGTCCATGCCGAGAGAATCATGGGTGAGCCGAAGAGGTATCTGTAGACGTACATCACCATCATGCATACTGATCCAGAAATCTATCCTTACACTTAAGTAGTTTGCGTGCTGCCTGTCATGCGTCTGCGGGAATATCCTATTATTTACCGGGAAAGGGGAGATATTTGAAAGTTGTGTTAAGTCGGAGGGGCTTAAAAGTGCACACGGAGAGGTTTCCTAACTCTGTTCGCACACGGACGATCAGAAATATCGAGGGGCAGATTAAAAACGTGCCGTTAGTGCTGGGGAGACGGCGAAGGGATCGGCGGAAAGGTGCGCCGATCCCAATGGGGGCAGGCTCGCTTAGCTTGTACGGAGCGCCGTGTGCCTGCAGGGGGCAGTAAAAAGCAGGGGCGAAGCGAACTCAACCTTCCCGGCAGCCGCCCTCTATGATGTCAACGGGAGTCTCCAGGCAACGGAACTCCTAACAGCGCGCCGGCGCTTCCTTGGGCCTTGGTAGCGCGGAGGGCGGCCGGCCGGGTTCGGGCAGCAACACCAGCCTCGAGGCGGGCGGCACCGGCGCCACCATGGCGCTACCGCTCCTGCCTGGAAACTCCTTCAACAGGAATGTAAGTGGCTCCACTTTGGTCTCCATCGCTGTCCAGGGGTTGCCCAAGCTTCTGTGCCCAGTGCCCACCCCCGGATTTGCACAGCACCCCCCTTGTCCTGCTGTTATCCTCCATCTGGAAGCTGAGTCTGAATACAGGGTAAAACGTAAAGGTAAAGGTTTCCTTGCTCGAAAGCCAGTCGAATCCGACTCTAGGGTTGCGGTGCTCATCTCCGTTTCAAAGCCGAAGAGCCAGCGCTGTCCGAAGACGTTTCCGTGGTCATGTGGCCGGCATGACTAAATACCAAGGCGCACGGAACGCTGTTACCTTCCCACCAAAGTGGTACCTATTTATCTACTTGCAATTTCTTGCTTTCGAACTGCTAGGTTGGCAGGAGCTGGAGCTAGAGATGGGCGCTCACTCCGTCTTGCGGCAACCCGGGTCTTGAACTGCTGAACTACTGACCTTCCACAGCCTGCAGTTCAGCGTCTTAACCACTTGAGCCACCGCAGCTCCACGAATACAGGGTAGCAGTCCATATAAAACCCAGTCCTTAAAAAACTTCCTCCTCTTTGCCTCTCCATTCTCACATGCTCCACATTCTCAGATTCCTGAGCTGACCCAACAAACAGATTCTCAAAAGCTGGTTCGGGGAGACTTGTGAGTTCCACAAACCTGGGCTGAGTTGGCAATCATCAGGTGTTTGATGGGCAGTCAGCACTGTCCTTTTAAGTCTCCTACATAGGGTTGCCAGCCTCCAGGTGGGGCCTGTGGATCTCCCGCTTTTACAACTGATCTCCAGATGACAGAGATCAGCTCCCCTGGGGAAAATGGCTGCTTTGAAGAGTGGACTCTATGGCATCCTGTCATGCTGAGGCCCCTCCCCTCCCCAAACCCCCGCCCTCTCCTAAAGTCTCCAGGTATTTTCGAACCCAGAGCTGGCAACCCTACTCCTACATAGCCCTTTCTTCAGCACCCAGCTCCTCCCATGTGACATCCTTTTCTTATATAAAACAGCAGACCAGTGGCTTTTTAAAGCTAAACACAAATTATTCCAGAATAAGCATTTGTGAGTCAGCGCTCACTTCATCAGGGGCACCAATGAAGCATTCATTTGTTAGGCAAAAGTATTTTTACTGAAAGCAAATAAAGTTTGACAAGGCCAGAAAGGTATCCAGAAAGAGTCAAAGACATCTGAAGAAGTGAGCAGTGACTCATGAAAGCTCGTACCCTGCTCTTTTCAGTCAAGGACAAAGACAGGCCCAAATGAGATATTGCTGTTACCCCACCTAACACAGCTACCTATCTGGAATTATCTTTCTTATATAACATCTCATTGCCTAAGACTTCCCCTCTTACATAAAGAACTGCCTTACATCGAGTTAGATTTATTGAGGCTCCGGTCACACGGGAGGATTTGCCCCACGAAGTGGACGGGTTGCGATCAGATGCCAACATCTGGCAAGCGTCGCGCCCCCAACCGTCCCTTCCAGCCGAAAACGTGGATCAAAAAGGTACTAGGGAAAATGTAGTACCTACCGGAAGATCCGCAGCAAGGCCGGGCATGGGATCGCGGATGCGCCGGCAGCCCATGTTATTTGAGGGACTGCCGGACTGCGCATGCGCGACTGCCGGACTGCGCATGCACACGAATACTCCAGCAGCCTCGGCTTGCCGGTCTTTGCCTTGCTTCCCCTGGCCATGTGATCGCGCCGGACAGAATATGTGCGGCAGCTCGGGGGAAGTGTCTGATCCCGATGCCATGCTTTCCTTTGGTGCGGCTCTAAGAAGCCACACTTCCGACGTGGCTTTTCCCGCCAGTGTGACCGGGACCTGAGTTAGATCTACAGTTTATTTGGTCCAGTGCTGTCTAAGCATGTTTCATGGTTTGCTCCATCATCACAGGCAGAGCTCTTCCTTACCCTGCCAGTTCATCTCACACATATTCCTTCATATATATTAGATATGCAAAACCTTCTGGACTTTATTTCAAGAAGGCTACAAATTCCATCATACACTGAAATCTCTCTCTCTCTCCTCCCCCCCCCCCCCGTTTTTTGTACTGACCATCCAGCCTAATAAATGGTTCTAGAGAACTCAGAAGCTTGCTCACTCCTTTGTGGCAATTTGGTTGTGGTCATAATAGGAAGGTATTTACAGTGCTGTTGTTTCTGATTTTTTTCCCCTAGTGGATCAACAGTTGCCAACAGTCTTGGTATATTTCTTTGAAGTATAGGTTATAAGCAATCAATTAAATACTTTCTTTATTTCACCTTTACTTTGTCCCAGTTATAACCTAACCACCCGCTGTCTCCCTTGACATTATTCTTCTGTATATACTGCAGTGAAACATTTCAGAGTGGTCCCTTGGAAACAAAACCATATGCATAGCTATCAATTTGAAATGTAGTTATGATGTAGTGATTCCACTCTATAGGCATAGTTGGGTTTAGACATTTCTAATGGCTTTGCATACCATAAATATAGATAAGGTTTTTGAATTGATTTTTTCTATTAATGTAAAGGCTATCGCTAGAAATCTTTAAGGACAGTTCCAGGTTCAGGAGTGACTCTTGTGAAGTAACAGCTGAATGATATAAGAAGGTTTTCCAGGGTAATAAAATTATACCAGTCAGTTAGTGCCGGATTTAAACTACTAGCTATATCAAATGGCTCCCCTGTTTTGCACTCATTCTTCAGTTTTGAGTGTTAGATATCATCTGCCACTCCTTTATGGGAAGCAGCTTTAAAAAGAAAACTGCTATTTTCCCCAGTTTTATCTCAGTTATTATATTAGCTTTTTTTTGCCAAGCTGAATGTACCATATGCTAAAAGAAACGTTAGATGTTTTCCAGTGATCCTATATAAAGTTACTCCAGTCTAAGCCCATTCATTACAATGAGTTTAGACTGGAGTAACTCAGCACAGGATTGTACTGTACATTCGATACTGCAGGCACCTAGTGATGAGTTGTTAGCTTGACAGCCATTTACCACTGATTCCTATTGGATAAAAACTGCTCATGTGTTTTGCAGAGGATAGGTTTTGCTCATGTGTTTTACAGAGAAACAATACTTCTGTAACGAGAAGACTGCTAGTTTCATTGTCATGAAGCCCACTGTGAACAGGCTCAAGAAGAGCAAAATGGGATAGAGTTTTCTTTCTCCAGCAAATGTACTGCTGCTACTTGGGTAACCTGATCTTTGGGAATGTTAGGCCTGCTTCACCAAACATCAACCTAGTACTGATCACTACTATCCCAAATGTATTAACAGGAAGAAATTGAAGACGTGATTCCTTAGGAAAACAGCCCCTCATTTTGTAAGCATAATCTACATGCTGATTCAATTTAGTAATGGATGCTACAGCCTAATGCAAGATGAGCATGCCCAAATGAAGCAAAAGAAGTCCCTTGGGCATTCTGAAACTGTGAGGTTTCCACGAAGCACACCCAAAATCAGGTGATGGCTGAGATGCTGCCCAGTGCTTTCCCTCCATTATTAGGGCTGCAAGCTTTAGGTTGGGAAATTCCTGGAGATTTGGGGGTTGGCCTTGTGGTATAATGCCACAGAGTCCACCCTCGAAAGGAGCCATTTTCTTGAGGGGAAATGACCACTGTAGTCTAGAGATCAGTCGCAATTCTGGAAGACCCCCAGGCCTCACCTGGTGGTTGGCAACTCTAGCTAGAGTTGACATCTTCCAGGTGGGGGCTGGAGTTCTCCTGGAACTACAATTGATCTCCAGACAACAGAGATCAGCTTCCATGGAGAAAATGGCAGTTTTGGAGGGCTTACTCTGTAGTGTACCATACAGTCTAGGAGAAGTCCCTTCCCAGAGTACTGTCCCCAAATCTGCAGGCATTTCCCAAACCAGAGTTGGCAGCCCTGCCCATCATCTGGTTCTTCTGCTGTCAATACTTACCATCTGGCACGATTCTTAAAAGATGGTTGGCAGCACCTGCACCTCACTTGTTGACTTGATTAAATAATACTTTTAATAGTGCAATCCTGAACATAACCCTTCTATTAAACACACAGATAACCCTTCTATTAAACACACAGTTCCCTATACCCTGTATGGTGTGGAAATTTGAATTCAGGCCACTTCTGAAAAAAATGGATTCCATCCAGTATGACTTTTCCCAGCACTTATGGACTGCTCCTAGATATGTCTCAGGCACAGCACTGAGAGCGGAACTACGTGAATTATCGCTGGCAGCTAGGGCTTGGATTAAAGCATTTCTCTTCAAAGTAAAGTTTTTAAAATCTGAGAGAGGATCTTCTCTACTTGGGCTTCTCCAGGCAGATAAACATTATAGCCAATGGGACTATTGGAAAAGAAAATGAAATCCCTAGGAATAACAAATGGTATGATTAAGAATACAGAAGCTAAAGTCATTATAAGACAAATTAAAAAATATGTAAGGAAGTTGGATGTTACAAGTGCATCTAGTAGGGTGTGCCAGAGGGTATGTTCAACACTCCATTTGGGAATTGCCCTCCTGATGCAACTTTTAGGTCCTTCTGTGTTCCATGCCTCTTCTTTCTCTGAATTTTAACTGAAGGGGTATCAAGAGGATGAGGTGAGCCCATCTTGTCCATTGTTTACCACCATGGAACAGTCCTGCATGTCCCAGTTCAAAGGTGATACTGCAATATCTAGTTCACATGTAAGGGTCAGGATGTTTGCTTTACTGCTGAAGATGGGGATAGCTGCACTGTTCCCCCCTCCCTTTTAAAGACATAGAAATGGGGAGGGGGTGCTCAGCAAAGAGGGAAAATCTGTTAGAGTTGTTTGCCAGTTCCACTAAAGTATCAGAACGAAGTTAGTGAAGAGTCTGCGAAGAGGAAGTGGGTGGTGAAGAAACTGTACAATTTGCTTTGATTCCTTTCAGGTTTACCTTTAGCACAACTCTCCTCTTTGCTAGTATGATGAAGTTGCTTCTACTTTTGCTATTGTGATTATAGTCTTAACATAATGCAGTCTTACCTTATATGGTCTTACCTTAAATGGTATTCACTGGTATTCCCCCATTCTAATTTCACTTAACCTCATAGATACCTCCTTTTTCAGGCCTGTATCTGTGACAGGATATTATGTATTTGTTTCCACTCTTTTTATCAAAATGTGCAATCCCATTCATTTCAGTGGTGTTCTGTTTGAACACCAAGGAAATTAGTTCAACAATGTGTTTTGTAGACCGTGCTCAAAGTAACTGGAATCATTCACTACGGGGGTATGATATCATTGCAGCCGAGTCAGGCAAATGGCTAAACATTTGGCACATACAGCATCTAGAATTGATTTATTGTCATTTTGAAAACAATATCTGTTTAACTTTGTATGGTTATCTTGTCATGTTCAACACTATTCTACAGACTTTAGAAGTTTTTTATTTTGCAGTTGCCATTTCTGTAAATGCTCTGACTTTTTTTCTTTCTGAAAACAGCAATTCTTTAATCTTGATTGCAGCTAGGAAAAAGAAAAGTTCCATAAATCTCAACACTGGAGTTACTGCAATAAAGTTTCTATGTTGGTGGGAGAAGACAAACCTGGAATAGGAGGCGAACCTTTGCCTGGACAAAAGCTGAAACCTAAGTATAGTGTTTTCCCTAGAGGTGTTGGAAGTGATGCACCTTCATGGGTAGCATTTGATAAACAGGTATGTTGACATCTCTATGTGTTTAAGTTTTTGTTTGGGTTATATCCAAGGCTCCCTCTAAGCTGTGGAGTCTCGTGAGCACAAATTCTACTTTGTGAGCTAGTGGCATTAAAGTTGTGAGCAATGTTCCCTCTAAGCTGTGGAGTCTTGTGAGCAAAAATTCTACTTTTTGAGCTACTGGTATTAAAGTTGTGAGTGAGTGATTTGGCTACTGCATAAATGAGTCTGCTCTGGAGCTATCCTTCGTGAGCTAAGACATAAATGTGTGAGCTGGAGGCTAAAAAATTGTGAGCTAGCTCACACTAACTCAGCTTAGAGGGAACACTGGTTGTGAGTGAGCGATTTGGCTACTGCATAAATCAGTTTGCTCTGTAGCCCTCCTTCCTGAGCGAAGACAAAAATGTGTGAGCTGGAGGCTAAAAAACGGTGAGCTAGCTCACACTAACTTAGCTTAGAGGGAACACTGGTTATATCCAGTCCTTTCCAAAGTATTTTGGATGGAAGGTGAGTTTTACTTTTCTTACTGGGTTTCATCCAGCCTTTTTGGAGATCTGCTGCCTTTGTTTATATGTACCGTATGGAGCTCATACTGCTGGTGCCACCAGAAACTATTTGGAAAAACTGGCTGGTTGTGTGCATTCATAAGGAGCAAAGAGTTCCATGCTGCCTGATTGTCTTTGATCACACTCTGAGGAGCAGTAGGATGGTGAGGCAGAGTTACTCATAGTGCAATCCTAAACAGAGATGCTTCCTTCTATGCCAGTTAATTTCAATGGATTTGGAACGGTATAACTCTCTTAGGATCACACTGTCAGTGGTAGATAGGATTCGTTTGTATCACATGTAGGTTCAGAGACTGACCCCCCCCCCCAAAAAAAAAACCCTGTCTTTTGCTATCTGTCTTTCTCCACTTGACATATTATGGCCATGGCCTACTGCCATCAGTGAGGCCTCCAATATCCTGTGCACTTGGATATGCTGGTTGAGCATAAAGAGAAGGAAAGGGAGAGGTTTTGCTGGGAAGGAAGTTTCTGAAGTTGCTTGTGCTGACTTGTTGTCACAGCAGTACATCTCTTAGTGCTTGTCCTGTGTTTCTTGTCATCTCTTGGTACTTTAAAAAAAAATTATGTCATTCATAGTCCACCTTTCTCACTTGACTCAAGGCAGGATGAGTCAATACAACACAATACACAGTAGAAAAGAGCAAGAGTCCATTAGCACCTAAAAGACTAACAAAATATGTGGCAAAGTATGAGCTTTCATGAGTCACTGCTCACTTCTTCAGATACTTCTTCAGTGACTCATGAAAGCTCCTACCCTGCCACATATTTTGTTAGTCTTTAAGGTGCTAATGGAGTATTGTTCTTTTCTACTGCTACAGACAGACTAACAGGGCTACCTCTCTTGATCTATCTCCATACAATACACAGAGTGAGTCAGTACAATCGATAGTATTCAGTAAACAATACAATAGGATTAGGGTTGTAGAACCAACCAGAAATCTACAAACAGAACTGAAATAAAGCGTAAACATAAGTATTAGCATGACACATTAAATGATACAAAAATTACATAGTAGGATTCTGGTTTCAGTAAGCTAAACACAGTAGCATACAGTCCCTAATAACTTATCTAAGTAACTTTATGACTTATTTAGTACAGTGTAACTATTGCCTGTGTAGAAAAGCTCTGATGAATAATTCAGTTTTGCATAGTTTGCAGAAAGCCACTTCTGGCTTTGACACAGATCACAACTCCACTTCTTATCACATGTCTGCAAAGTAATGTGATTTCTTGTCACATGGCTGAGATACCACATGATGTCTTGTCACAGAGCCATAGCCACGGGGGGCATTTGATGTCAATGCCTCCCCCCAAGGATAAGTGCTGCCCCATGCAGGGGGGATTCAAAAAAATTCAGAAAACATTTTAAAATGTAAGATGCACGTGGGGTTTCCAAAATGACCTCGGGCACGTTCAGGGAAGCTTCAGTCTCATTTTCTTTTTCCTTGGCCGAAAAATAAATAATTTTTTTAAAATGCAAAATAAAAAAATTAAAATAAAATAAAGATAAAATTACAAAATACAAAAGAGAGAGAGTCATAGATTCCCTCCCCCCCGACTCAGATAGATGAGTAAGAGGACTCGGCCCCCCCTTTTAAACATGGGCTTGGCTCCCCTTTTGAAATGCCACTCAAGCCACGAGCCTTGCTTGCAGCAGAGGTGGGGGACTCGGCTTGGCAGTGGTGGCCTCACTGCGCCTACACCAGCTGAGCCAGCTGGTGCAATCTTTCTCTGCTGCAAGCTCACCTGCTCCCTGATCATTTCCACTGGAGATGCCAGGGATTGAACCTGGGACCTTCTGCATACAAAGCAGATGTTTTGCCACTAAGCCATGGCACCTCCCCATGTTATTCATTCTCAATGGTTCATATGCTGCTGCCTGGGCACTAAGAGGTGGGTCCTGGATCTGGAAATTTGAAGACCACTCCACTAATGATATGACCTATCTAAGTAAGTCAATGCAGAGTAGTGTCCCGATCTCATCATAACCATTAATAAATTAGTAGGACTTTAAGCTATTGTTTCTCAGCCTCAGCCCAACATTTGCAGTATAAAGGTAATAACAATGACATATTTTCCAGGACTGCTGTGAAAATTATACAACAAGCACACAGGGAACACGGCTAAGTTAGATAAACACAGAAAACACCGTGCTGAAATAATAAACACAATATTCACATGTACTTATAGCTAAATATATTTGCTTTTTATCAGGGCTATTTTCCGGCAGGAACGCACAGGAACGGAGTTCCGGCTGGCTCCCAAGTTTGCCACGCCCAGCAGGAACTCATTAGCATAATAGGCCACACCCAACAGCAGAAACTCTTTAGGATTGGCTACATTAGGGGTGTGTGGCCTAACATGCAAAGGAGTCCCTGCTACAAAAAAGCCCTGGGTTTTGACAACAAACAAGGTAAACAGAATAAGAAGCAAAAGGTGGGTGTGGCTGGATGACCACACTTCTGGTAACATGGGGGTGTGGCCTAATATGCCAATGAGTTGCGCTGTCAGGGGTGTGGCCTAATATGCTAATGAGTTCCTGCTGTTGGGTGTGGCCTATTATGCTAATGAGTTCCTGCTGGGCTTTTTCTACAAAAAAGCCCTGCTTTTTATACATAACATCAACTCTAGTGTATTGTAAACACTTTCAAACGACAACATCACATTTCAAACACTTTCAAACTAAGTTATATAACATGAAGAGTCCAACTGTCTTCTTCCTGATGGAGGATAAATACCAATGTACGGTTATTTGTACCGAACAATGCAGCAACCTATTGTATATTTCCCAAGTGATGATCCATCAGGTAAAGCTAGCAGGCAGCTTGTATTTCTCACTGTGATGATTCAGCTTAGTAAGCAAGCCTAGTAGATGTATTTTCCCATGAGGTGATTCAGCTAGCAAGCAGGCCTAGCAACACGCCTTCCGGGCATAACCTGTGTGTTTCGAACAAATCTTCAGGCATACATTTTTCTGGAACCACAGCTCTTGTAGTTTGAAAGTGTTTAGAATACACTAGAGTTGATGTTGTGTATAAAAAGCAAATATATTTAGCTATAAGTACATGTGAATATTGTGTTTATTATTTCAACACGGTGTTTTCTGTGAAAATTATACAGACAATGAGGTGCTTTCAGTACTTAAAAAAATCTGATGTAGCTAAAACAAAAAGAGTCTTTTTGGTACCTTAAGACTATAACAGTGTTATTGTAGCATAAGGTTCTATAAACCCACCCGGTCATGCGCAATAAGTAGCAAGCGTTGCTATTGTTTAATAGTACTTTTTCAGGTATTGCAGGTATTGTGCAGTTGTTACATACGGCATCTAAAAATACTTTCTATTTGAGGTTTAGTATTTCAGCATTTTCAAGTCTGTGGCTTAGAACTGTCTTTTCCTCCTGTTTGTGAGTATCCTGAAAATGTAGAATATTTAAATAAGCTAAATAGAGAAGAATGCACGTATGTTGTTTTTAACAGTTCTTTTAAATGTTGTTCTTTCCTTATGACACTTGCTACAAGAATGTAATGTTTGCACCATGATGCATGAGTCAGTTCAGCCAAAGGACTTGTATTTAAATAATTTCCCAGCCCATGAAAACCAAAGGAGCACAATTAGCATAAATCCAAATACAATTACCTAACTGGACTGTAGATTAGGTTGTTCAATAGTGAAGTCACATATGGGACAATTCAAGCTTGAGAATGTTTCTCATAAAATTTGTTCATCAAATTATACTGTCCACACAAGCCAAACACAATGCAATTTCCAGAGTGCCCTGCTGGATTTGGCTAATCTCCATTCTAGGTTCCCCCCTCCCCACCCGTATCCTGTCTTCTTGATGTACAACTTCTGCTAAAATTATTTTTTACAAGAGAGTGGATAAACATTATCACACAAATATGCCAAACAACAGGCAGATGGTGACAGCTTGCTACCAAAAGAAATACCAAAATCCCATAAATTCAGTGATTTTTATCAGATGGTATAATCTGCAGTGTCCATTTCCTTGCTAATTTGAAAATTCTTTTATTGAAATTTATGACTGTTCCTGTTTGCTATTTGTAATGTTGAGTTGTGCAATCAGTGCTTATGTGCAGCTTATCTAACTAGAAAATTAAATGTTTATTAAGGGCAGGTTCAGATGAGACTTTACCATTTATTAGGGGCTTCTCCAGCCCCTTTAGCCATTATCTTTCTATCTTGCTGGCAGAGAACTTTGGCATCCTTTCAGCAGGAAAAGCAGGACACTCTTCCTACCTGCTGTGCATGCAACATGATCCTGTAAATGTTTACTTAGAAGTAAGTAGCAGGATGTCCTGTGGGAGTAACTGCCAAATTAAACGTGCATGCCAAGGGATGCTGCCTTAGTACAGCATCTGATGTTATATATCCCCTGTGTACATTTCAAGCTGCGGTGGCTCAAGTGGTTAAGACGCTGAACTGCAGGCTGTGGAAGGTCAGTAGTTCAGCATTTCGAGACCCGGGTGCCACAAGACGGAGTGAGCTCCTGTCTCTAGTTCCAGTTCCTGCCAACCTAGCAGTTCGAAAGCAAGAAATTGCAAGTAGATAAATAGATACCACTTCGGTGGGAAGGTAACAGCGTTCCGCGCGCCTTGGTGTTTAGTCATGCCGGCCACATGACCACGGAAACGTCTTCGGACAGCGTTGGCTCTTCGGCTTTGAAACGGAGATGAGCACCGCAACCCTAGAGTCGGATTTGACTGGCTTTCGAGCAAGGGAACCTTTACCTTTACCTTACATTTCAAAAGCTCATGTTGGGAGGAAAACAGGAAAAGACCAGGGATGCACATCTTTGCATTATCAGATGAGTTAAACACCATAAAGAGAAGAACGTGCCACACAGCTCCCAAGGTTCTGTCCATCTGGTTTTATATTTTTCTCTTTGACTTTTACAAAGATCTTTGGCCATTTCCTGATCATTTACTTGTAATTTGAAATCACGTTGGAGGGTGTGATGTTGGATCCCATCCTTAGAATCTGCAGACCCATCGGTATCAGAACCTATCCCATTTTTAAAAAATCCTACCCTTCCTCCAAGAAAGGAAAGGCAGTAGTACAGTACACATGTTTCTGGACAGTCAGGCACTTCACTGGGTGGCCTTAGGCAAGCCATGATTTCTCAGTCTTATATTGGAATAAAACTGGTCTGCTGTGCAAAGCAGTGAGATAACATACATGAAGTACTTCGAGCAGTTTGTAAAAAAACGCTATGTGACTACAGTTATTCCCATGGAACCTTTCACAAACATTGTTAAGTCTTTTTTACTTAGTCTGCTTTTGGAGGCTGAGGATAAGCTAAACCATTTCCCTTTTTTTTAAGTGCCCTCTTTTGTTCTTTTTTCCTCGGGATTCATTTTCTTCAGGTTTTTCCAGATTTGTCATATCATTGTTGATCTTTTATTTCTTTTGGAGAACTTTTAGCTCCCCCTCCCCATGTACTTGTGTCTTTTAGATTGTAGGTGTTTGCTTTGTTTCCCCCATGTTCTAATTGTAAAGCATCTAGATGCAAATTCTAAGTCTATTCATGACAACAATCAGTGTTCCCTCTAAGCTGAGTTAGTGTGAGCTAGCTCACAGTTTTTTAACCTCCAGCTCACATATTTTTGCCTCAGCTCAGGAAGGAGGGCTCCAGAGCAGACTAATTTACGCAGTAGCCAAATCGCTCGCTCACAACTTGAATGCCAGGAGCTCACAGAGAATTTTTGCTCATGAGACTCCGCAGCTTAGAGGGAACATTGACAACAATAGCCATAATAATAACATATTGTTATTTGGTATAGGATGGATCAGAAATTCAGTAAATAAAATGGGAAATCATTTTGGAAAACCTTTAAATGCTTTTTAAATACTACCAGTACTGGAATACAGGTTGGGGGTTAGATAATAAGAGGGGTGTTAAAGAAGCCTAGTGGAACTCATGTTTGAGGTCTTCAATGCCACTAAAACCCCAAACCTGGTAACAGGATTGTTTGTTTTGATGAGTGCAAAATAGCATTTGCCTACTAGCAACAGGAAGGCATGGCTGCCCCTTCATACTGGATTAATCAAGCCAGCAGGTGGTGCTTAAATAGCATTCTTCTCTTTCATCGCTAACATTATAGATTGCATTATACACTTGCACAGTAACATGTTTTTAGCAATTTTAGACATATGTTTGATACAGATTGAATATTATTTTGTGGCCTTTCTGCATGAACTCTCTGTATTTTTACTAGTTCCTTTGTTTACTATAGTGTGTGTGTGTGTAATCAGTTAAATAAACGAACGTATTCCAGAGGAGTAGACATATCCAAAACAACAATCCAAAACAACAATCATGTAACACTTTAAAGACTAACAGATATGGTGGCTGAACTGTCATTAGCCATAGTTCATTTTATCAGCTTTGTGAAATTTTAGAAAGAGAAGCCAGAAGGTCCTCCTGTCCAAGAAATATATTGCAGAGAACAGATGAAAACAAGATCCAGTCAATAATGTTGTTAGTCTTTAAGGTACAACAAGACTTTGTTGTTTTGAGTGCATATACGAACATGAAGTTTTGCAATTCTTAGACTGCTTTCACATGCTCGTGCGATTTGTGCTAAGTACTAATGTTGTTCGAGAATCTGGAAGAAAAATCCAGTCCATGTTGATTCTGCGTTCACTTTGTAGACCTATTTAAGAAGCAACCATTTTAAATCCTCTATGTGAACATGCAGCTCAGCCAGCTAAAGCACCAGACTGAAATCCAAACCTCCAGCCCTGAATGCTTGTTTGTTTATTTGCTTCATTTATACCACCCCTTTCTACCCAACGGAGACCCAAAGCAGCTTACAGTGTTCTCCTCGCCTCCATTTTAGCCTGTGGATTTATACTGCCTTCCTTAAGTTAAATTCTTTGCTTATAACACACTGTGTGTTGATTTTGTTGAATTTGTGCTCTCTCTACAGGTATTGTCTTTTGATGCTTATTTTGATGAAGAAGTTCCTGAGAAAAACCAAGAGCTGTACAGAATAAGACATTGTAAAATATATTTCTACCTGGAAGATGACACAATTCAGGTGGTTGAACCCCAGGTGATGAATAGTGGAATCCCACAAGGTAACATTAGTAAGGATGGGTTTTCTTATAGGCTGCCAAAAGGAAGGGCTAAGGGGGCCCTTTGAAACTTCTGGGGGCCCTTGAGACCTGTTGACCTGTTGAGCAGGGTGCCACTGGGGGTTGATAGAAACAGAAAATTTAGCATCATGTGTGTTTTTGAGAGCCAGCATGGTGTAGCATTTAAGAGCTGTGGACTCTAATCTGGAGCACCAGGTTTGATGGTCCACATGAAGCCTGCTGGGTGAGGTTGGGCGAGTCACTGTTCTCTTAGAACTCTCTCAGCTCCACCTACCTCACACGTTGTAATGAGATTCTACTACTCCAGGGGAGGTTTTCTTATAGACCCAGTGCTGAAACTTTTTGTTAGTAAAATAATTTCTAAGTTACTGTATGGCATCGAGATATGGGGATGGAAAGATCATTTACTTCTTAGGTTAAGAGACACTTCAAAACCTATTTATGAGACGTATCCTGGCACTTCCGAAAGGAACACCAGCTGCCCTGTTATGAGCTGAACTGAGACTTCCATCAGTGAGGGTTCGAACCCACTTGATGATTTTAAAATTCTGGAAAAAATTCACCTAAAAAGTCCAGACGCATTCAGTAAACTTAGTTACCATCTACTGAATGACAAAGATAAAGCTTGCCCTGAATTTTTTACTTATATCATTACTAGATACACTATTCCAGATGACCTGCTACAACATACAGGGAACAACACTAACCTACGCGAATGGATGTTTAGAGAGGATGCTCTAAAAAACCCAATCTAGGTTTAAAATAATTAAAAAGGATCATTCCAGAGCCTCTTACTTAAACAACATAACCTGGTATAATCTCAGTAGGTCCCTTACCTCAGTGCGTTTTCAAACGATGCCTTCGGAGATGTTAGCTAGTCACTATAAGAAAACCCCAGTAGACCAACGTATCTGCATATGTGGACAGTCAGTGAAAAACCTTCCCCATTATATTCTGGCCTGTCCTTTATATGTAGAACCTAGGGACAGATTTTTTTTAGCAAAGATATTGACAGCCCTATACCCCCTGTCTGATTATGATAAGATGGCCTCAGATGAGGACCCCTTCATCTTTTCAAGATTGGCTCTCTTTGCCTTGGCTGCGAGAAAAATTAGAGCAAAGAAATCAAATAGTACCATTGCAACTAAGTGAGTTTTCTTAAAAGGTCTTATTGGATTTAAATATTATAGGTTGAGGTAGTTTTAACAGGTTTTATACGTTTTATAGAGGTTGATTTTTTAAAAATTATATGTTATGCACAAACTCTCTTAGAGTGTTTGATATTGTGAAGGCCTATGGCCACATACAATAAAATGATTCTGATTCTGACCTACCTCAAATTGCCTGTTGTGGGGAGAAGAAAGGAATGTGATTGTAAGCCGCTTTGAGACTTCTTAAGGTAGAGAAGGTAGAGAAGAATGGTGCTGGAGAAGACTCTTGAGAGTCCCTTGGACTGCAAGAAGATCAAATCAGTCAATCCTCAAAGAAATCAACCCTGACTGTTCCCTGGAAGGCCAGATAATGAAACTGAAGTTCAAATACTTTGGCCACCAAATGAGAAGGGAGCGCTCACTGGAGAAGACCCTGATGCTGGGAAAGACTGAAGGTCAAAGAAGACGGGGACGGCAAAGGATGAGATGGTTAGACAGTGTCATAGATGCAACGAACATGAAATTGAGCAAGCTTCAGAGGACGGCGGAAGATAGGAGGGCCTGGCGTGATCTGGTCCATGGGGTCGCAAAGAGTCAGACTCGACTGTGCGACTGAACAACAAAGGTAGAGAAAAGCGGGACATAAAAACCTACTCCTCTTCTTTGTCTGAAAGTGAAAAGAGTTCAAATGGGGTATGAGGGGAGACCCAGAGGGAATATTCTTCCTAGGT